TTTGTTATTATTCATTGTCTTCAGCAACTAAAATAAATTGATATCATGTGACTACAATTGACCAATCAAATTCATAGTTTTGGTATTAACAGTGTCAATACTTTAAACAGTGATTGTTATGATAGATTCATTTTGATTCTTTGATGATTTAATAAATTTGACACATTTGACAGTTAACAATCACATTTTATTTGTTCTTCTTAATGGAACATTTAGTCTAATTTGTAAAATTATATAATGTTTCCAGTTATTATATATTGCATTCATTTTGAATTTTATTTTTTAGCAGCAGTGAAAATTACATTAAGTCCCAACTCTTTCAGTATGAAGTTAGTATAAATGTAGTACGAGTTGTCATAAATTTTATGACTTCAAATTGTTAAAATGAATGCATTTCATAATTGACCACTTCCAAACACCTTTCCACCATCTAAACTAATGATTTGATATTTTCATTTGTCACAGAAATATTTAATACTATGAGTAAGTTTTGAAATTACTGTCATTGTCAGGTCAAACACCGGAGGATTGTATAAAAAATTCAGATCATACCATTCTCATTAAAAAAATCTCTTTTATCACAAAACTCCAAAATTGTTGTAGAATTCCTTGAAACTGAACATCACATGATTGACACATTGTTCAACTTGAAAAACACCAATTCAATTAAATTGCTAATTTAAAATAAATCCATAAACACTGTTGTGAGATTGAATTCATGAGATAAATTACCTTCTCCAATACTTACATCTTCAACTGTTGCCTTCATTGTATAACAATCACCAGGTGGAAAATGAGTAAGAACTTGTGAACCATCTAGACCTTCCCATACAAAGGTGTTATGCTAAAACAAACAAATGAAACTCTTATTACCCAGCCATAGGGTAGAGTAAATAATGTTTTGCAGTTTAGCTTTCTTCCAATTGATAGAATTTATTTCGTATGAATTAAAAACAACTTTTTGAATACTTTTGTTTTGCTCATAAGTTTGTTGGAGGTAAATATGTAGGGAAATGAAAATAAAATACACACAGGAAGTACAATAAGAAATCCTGTATTTGCTGATTAAAAGCACAAGTACATGTAAACCAACAATTGCATTTATTTATTATTGTATTCAAATAAGAGAGCATTGTTATTGTAATGAAAATAAACAAACAAATAAACAAACAAAAAACAAACATAAATAAATAAATAAATAAATAAATAAATAAATAAATAAATAAATAAATAAATAAATAAATAAATAAATAAATAAATAAATAAATAAATAAATAAATAAATAAATAAATAAATAAATAAATAAATAAATAAATAAAGTACTGTTTATTCCATATTAAGTAAACACATGGCAGTATCTGATAAAAGGATCATGTGGTAAAATCTAGGCGTGCAAAGATTGCCTTATATTGCATTTTATTTATGCGCCTTGCTTGACTTATGTTAATTAATAAAACAATGGTACCGTACTTACTGGGAATTTATTAACAAGACTCCATGACAGTTTCTGTGTGACAAATCTCTCAATACCAGCACCCTTCATTATTTGGGGAAGCTGAGCAGAGTAACCAAAGGTGTCAGGTAACCAAAACTACGAAGCAAACAAACTAATGATTTAACATTATTTTTATGTACATTTTGTTCTCAAGATCATGTTTACAGTGTACTGCCAACATAAATACTATGAAACATCTTACAAATTAACATATTTATCACATGAAAAATGCAAGAACTTTATAGATACCATATTAAATATTTCTTGATAATTTTGAAATTCGTGTCCAAATTTGCATTTTGAGTAACTGGGGATACATCAACAATGTTGAAAAAACAGACAGGTATATTTTGCTTCAAAAGACAATAATATTTTCTTGCACAGTAAAGCATACACATACAAATATGAAGCATGTTGTTATCTATTCATATAAAGTAGCATAATTACAGCTGGACACCTATGACTGTAATGGAAACAAATGTGTATTTTCATTTTTTTTTACACATTTCCAAACACTGAACAATAAAACACTTGATTACAAGACCGTAAATCTCACCTCTTTACATTTCATTCCAAATTCATTTTTGAAAAATCTCTGCCCATACAAGAACTGTCTTATGAAGGATTCACCGCTAGGAAGATTGCCATCCATTTCTACCCAGCAACCACCCACTGGTATAAATTTCTTTGATGTTACTTGTGTTTTAATTTCCTTGTACAATTCAGGGTAGTTATCCTTCAGCCATTCAAACTGCTGTGCCTGGAAATATATTGTGATATTTACTCCATTTAAGGTCATGTGATATGTATTTCTAAAAATTCATAGAGTGCAAATAGCTACATTTGGTTTCACACAAAGATTATAAACCGCC